CCAGCCAGGTAAGGACTGGCAGGGTCCCATGTCTGGCCAGAGAGGGGTTTAATTCCCCCTTCCCTGTCCCACCGGCAGGAACCTGAGCTGGGTCTGCTGGGCGCTTCCCCCTTGTTGCTGCAGCAGCAGGCCAGCATGGCCCCTGAGGCAGAGGAGGCAAGGAGGAGGGTCATTTTTCCCTCTACCCCCACTTGGGGGACCACAGCTTGGTCTGCCTGCCTTGACCGCCACAGAGTGGCAGAATAAGCCTGCTCCTATCCCCTTCACCAGACAGCAGAGGGAGGGTGGAATAACCCCCCTCCCTGCCCCCTCTGCCTCACTACTGCAGCAGTGAGCAGACCTGGCTCCGGTCCCTGCCAGTGAGACAGGGAGGGGGAAATTCAACCCCTCTCTGGCCAGTTGGGCCCGGACTGACCATGCCCCCCCTCACCCCTCCAGCACAGCTCCCCTGCAGCTGAGGGCACACTCCAGCACCCCCGCACCTGGCCTGAGCAACTGCAGGCATCTGCCCATGTCTGTGCTGTTACAAACCAGTTCAGCCTAGGCAAGTTAGACTAACCTGCAAAGGTTGAATCAATTCAGGCTCTAGCTTTTTGAATGTCTGTCCCTAGCCATGGAGGAGTTGGATGCGGAGCTGGAAATGTTTCTGTTTTGAGGGTTTCAAGACCAAAACCTGTTCTTTCTTTTCTGTCTTTAAACTGTTAACTGCTTTGCCAAGGATTTCTTCCCCCCCTTAGTTTCTTTTGTAGAAGAAACGAGTTGCATATTAAATGCCTTTAAAAAATCCTGAATATATTTGTGGAGTTTCTTTTGTGGTTATTTTGTGACCAACTGCTTTAAAATGGACAAACCTTTTTTTGTGTAATGACAGTAAGTTAAAGCAAACTTGTAATTACTGTAGAATAATTTCATATAAAGAAATAAAACAGTTTTCCACCTGGGAAAAGGAAGCAAATTAGTTTGTGGGGCTCTGCTCACAGTTGCATTTTAATTTAGGACATTTCTCCTACTGTGAATATGAGTTTTGAGCAGGGCCACTTGCAACCAGTTATAACATTTGCACATACTGTCAACTTCACTTTTTTTTTAATGGAGAAAATAAGTTTTCTCCTCCTCGCCAGTTTCAGCACTTTCAGAGATTACATGCAGCTACAGTAGATGCAATATTCTGAGGGGGAAAGGTGATTTTTCAGGTTGACAGCGCTCTTTGAGTGGCTTTTTTAACGCATTGAGAATAAATTGGTTAACCGCTTTTCTCAGGTGCATTTGTCACTGTCCCCAAAGTTTCTACATGGTGCATATATACATCTATGGGGGTGGGGTGCAGCAGTCTAGAGCAGTTAAATTGTGTTGTATAACTGCTAGGGTTCCCTGCCCACAACAGCTTGACTGCAGTAGAGTACAAAGCATATGTACAGAATGCACAATGCACCTTTCATTTTATCTTTTGTCATTAGTAAGTTGTAACTCTCGGTTCTTACATTTATACCTTTCTATTGTGTATATTAGAATACGTGTTCTCGAGGGCAGGTGGTTTTTAAAGCAGCATTCACAGCTTGGATGCATTATAAATAATGAAAAAGGAAAGTGGTTGCCTGCAAGCAAAATCAGCTCTTTGCCAGTTACTTATCACTTTTATATTAACTGAATCGGAGTGCTGAGTGGAGTACCTAGATTTGAATCCAGGTTTAAAGTTCTGGTCCCAAGATGTTTGAGGAGACCAGTTGCTCTTAATGATCTGATCCTTCCTCAGTGAAATAAATGGGAGTAGATCAAGCCCTTTGGCACCCAGGTTAAAAGACCTTATGATAGCCACACCCTCTTTGCCAGATGGTAATATACAACAACATATGTAACAGAAGATTAAAAATTAGCTAAATGCTCATTTTCCATAATAATTCCTCCAGACACTAGAAAACAAATTGGAAAAATTCCAGGGACAAAAGGGCATAACCCACACAAGATTTTAGCCTTAGCTGGCATGAATTGTTGCAACTCCATTGGAGTCAGTGAAGTTAAGCCAGTTCACATTACCAAAGGACAAGGGCCAAAATGTGCTTCCTGCTTAGAGATCGTAACAAGAAAATCCCACTTTGAAATAGAGAACTTATCTTGGGAACAAAAGCACAAAGATTGTGTTTTAAAGTGCTCAGACTCCTACTAAGAGTTAGAGTGATCCTTATTTGGCTTTGTAGTTTTGTTGTAGTAGCACTTAGAAGCCTGTGTCATGAATCATGACCGCATCTTAATTGGGTGCTGGGTAAACACAGAGCAGAAAGACAGTCTGGCCCAGATATCTTGCATTTTTTACTTGTATTTAATAATCCGTTCAGAATGAAATTAGTAGTATAGATTAATCTGACATGAGAGGGCCAGTTCAGAGTCATTCTCTAAAAATACATATGTTTTTAAATGTTGATCTCAGTCCAAAAAAGTCTGCATATTGTTTCTATGTTACTAACATGGCATCTGCTTTTAAAATGATATTTTCTTAAACAGCAGCTGCTCTCCCTTTGAATTTCTGGTTTAGCTTGATGGTTTATATATTTGCTTCTTTATGCTTTTATATGGTTTGTTTCTAGTGTGGAAGTGGGAAAGCTTTGATATACTTCAGTGTAGTGTGGAAAATTTGTGTAGTTTTTTAATTCTCCAGGAAAAGGATAGTGAAACTACTAATAAGAACAGAGAAGGAAAAATGTGCATGTCTGAAAAAATGCATAGCTTTAACTGTTGATATTCATGAATTACTAAATAGTTTCTTTTCTTGGCTGCTGTTTTTGCTTCGTACTAATATGTCATCTCTGTCTCTTGGCATGGGTTTCTGCTGAAGGCTATTGTGAGTATGGCTTTCTATTTACTTAACATAATTTTCCCTTTACTGGCATTTATGGTTTTGATTAATGCTTCAATGTATAAAGTTACAGTATCACAAACTAAAAATTACAGATCTGATTTAGGTGCAAGATATTTCGGCAGCTGTAGTAAAATAGTAAAGATGGGAAAACAGAGAAAGCTAAAAGTTCAGGAGACATTCTTGGTGCTAATAACCTTAATGGCAAAATTCCCGTTACAGGAAACCGTGCTTAACGCTGTTTTGCTTAGTGCTATTTTGCTATAACGCTGATTTTTAAATTGATACCTAGTTCCACTCAGTGCTCAGCAAGTTTCATTCTAACACCCGTGGTCGCCATCTTGGGTCGTTAAACACTTGCAGTCACCATCTTGGATTGTCAAATACTTTCGGTTTCACTTAACGCTCGCTTGGCTTAATGCTGGTTTTTTCAGGAACCTAATAAGAGCACTAAGCGGGGGTTGGCTGTAGTTTCCATGAGACTAGGATTTTCTTGGATCATTATCTGATATTACTTTAACGTATTAGTAAGACAACCAATTAAGCAAGTTTTTCTGCAGTATCTATACATTTCAAAAAAACTACTTGGGGTCTAACTTGCAAACTGTTGTATAATAGCAGAAGGAAGGGAGGGAGGAAAGAAGTTTTATTTGTAATTAATGGACCTATTCCATAATGATTCAGTACAGAAAAATACTTGTAAAGCCTTCAGCTTTTAGTAAGACTGTTTATTGGTCAAGGAAAGGTAATTAATTGTAATGTGGAACTGCTGTATATATAATATATTTGAGCATAACTGCTAGGATTTTTGAAGTTCAATAGCATGTTGAAATCACTAATACTTAACTTTCTGTTTTAGTCAATTCTTCTGAAAAAGAAACTTGAAGAACACCTGTAAGTGATACAAATTTTTCCATATTGTGTTTGTCATATGAAAGAAAAATAACTACTTTTGGTATGCAGGCAATGCTTAGCCAGTAACAATAGTGGTAAGGCAAACACTTGATAATGTATTTGGAAGATCTATAAGGAAAAGAAATGCAAACAGCCCAGGAATATTTGAGTCCATTATTCAAGCATTAATTGCATCGCCTACCGAAACGCTTTGACAAAGAAAAACAGTTGTAAAAAAAACGACCGTTTATGGCCTTAGGAAATCTGATTTAAACTTTTTTATAAAACTTAAACCAAGAGGAAAAATTAATATTGCACTGAAGGAACCATTTTAATTTGAAAAATATTGTTTACTTTTTAGTATACATTATGGAATAAAAGATAACATTTTAGTGAGTGTGACCCTTTTGTTTTACTATTTATGCACTTCTGTTGATTTTACACTTTTCCGAATGGCAATAGTTATCTAAAGATCTGATCACTTGTTTAACTGGCTTACAAAAGGTGTGGCCTCGTTCGCTTTGGGGGTTTTAAGCCAGTCTTCCTCAATATCACAGCTATCTGAATCATTCATTTCAAGCATGCTTTGTGCAATTGATTATAAATTATGAAATAATTGTAGAGTTATGGACAGCTAATTGAGCTCTTTAATGTTATAACTGATCATCTATAGAAATTCCTTTTCTTCTGTTTTTTTTTTTAAACATTTCCATTCTTGGGACATTGAAGCCACTTGTCATTTGCTGTCATGCCTCATTGCCAAAAGTAAGCTGTGCTGTAATCTCTCAGAAATGTAGCACCTGGATTTTCTCATTGCTTGACTTTTATTTTACCTGGAGAAGAGTGTTGGAAAAATAATGTATGCTTTTGTAATTTGCAACAGTGAAAAGCTCCATGAAGCTAACAATGAACTACAGAAGAAAAGAGCTATTATTGAAGATTTAGAACCAAGATATAACAACAGCTGTGAGTTTTCCTACATCAGAACTCATGTTTTGTTTCATTTTTTTAAACTTTTGCATGTAGGGGAGGGTCTTTAACAAAAAAATCCATATAACTGTTAAGTTAATGGAGTGTAAATGTTTAAAGGCATTATTGTATTTTATTTTTGGTTAGTCAAAAAATGTGGCTTTGGACAATCAGGCCATTTTAATTGTCACAGCTATACACTAAAACCCATTTATAAATGACTAAATAGTATATTGCTATTACCATATTTTCTCATATAAAACTGCTCCAGAAAATTATATGTACCTTATTTTTCACAGACAGAATGAAAATATATATGTATCCAGAATTATGGCTGCATAGAGCAGGGACAGAGCCTAATTTTTAACTGGCTCACCCTCCTTTTCCTGCTCAACTAAAATCAACACACTAGTTGCTGCTAAAGACTGGTCTCTACAGGTGGTTCTACGATTTTGTTGTATCCCTGCACAGTGTCTTCTGGAAACTGAGGTGTATGGAGCAGATAGAACTGCCCAGCACACCTCCATTTTTTTCAGGAAGCATTCCAGAGCTGAACTGCAAAGCAGCTGCAGCAGAAAGGCAAGCCTATGTGCCCCATTTCTGCTGCACCTCTTTCTGGTTTGGCCCCAACATACCTCCTGGAAACAGAGGCGTGCAGGGCAGTTCTACCTGACTGCAACAGCATTCAGTTCCAGGCTGCTGCTCCTACAGAGTGAAAGTGCCCCATGTGCCTCTGTTTTCAGGAGGCTTGTCAGAGCCAAACCAGGAAGAACAGCAGCAGAAAATGTTGCACTTGTCTCTGTAATGTAATGTAAGCATGTGATCATTTTTGCTGCATCTGCTTCTCAGTTTGGCTCCAACATGCCTCCTGAAGAGGCACACAGGGCAGTATCATGTGGTGGTGGCAGCAGTGGCCCCCAGCTGGGTTGAGAATCACTGGTCTACAAGCTAATTTTTTTTAACACGGTGCTTAACCTACAGCCTGTGGGCCAGATCCAGCCTCTGGATTGACTGGATCCAATCTACAGCACAGGGGATCAGTGGCAAGCAACTCAGCCTGGCATGTCCCCTTCCTTGGCCTGCGCCATTATGGTGATCCCTTTTGAAGCCCTCCCTGCCTCTCTCCTTCCTCTGTCTCTGACATGTAACAGCCACCCTCCTTCCCATACTGGAAGTGATGACCTGTGGTGCAGCTATGTCGAAAGCATCTGCCCCCTGCTTCCCCTCCCCAGCTTCTGAAACATTAAGCTCCATTGATTAAATGGTTTTATTACAGGGGAATTGAGTAGACTCCTTTCTCCCCACATGTGTACCTGAGCTATTGATTGTATCTGCTGCATCAGAATATTTTTCTGTCCTGACTGGGGCTTTTCTAAACTGAAAAAATAAACACTAACTATGGGATTAAATATCATGTGAAACGCACAGTATTAAAGTATGTGTATCCATAATGTGTTTTTTCTGAAATGTGGGGTTTTTCCACCTCTATGTGCAGCACTCAAAATTGAAGAATTACAGGAAGCATTGCGGAAAAAAGAGGAAGAAATGAAGCAAATGGAGGAGCGATACAAAAAGTACTTGGAAAAGGCTAAGAGTGTAAGTGTGGCGTGCTCAGAGCTGATCATTTCTGCTGCATCTTGCCCTCTTTCCACAGTAATAAAAATAAATAGTAGATTCAACAGTGCTTTGCAGTACAGTAGAGGAAGGCCATCAATGGGGCTTGTATTTTTCAGTCCTGATAGACCCTTGGCTAACACACAAATGGGTTACCATAAAGTAAATGAAAGCAGGAACTGTATGTGCCTGTATGTAGGCTCTTGCCCCGCGGTAAATGAAAGCTAACTTGGCAGTAACTTATTGCTTCAGCAAAAGAAGCACTGTGCTTTGTGTCAGTAAAACCACCATCCTGCACATGATCCCTGACCAAAACAAGCTGTACCAATATATATGTTTCTGCATATGGGATTTCTGAGGCTAAAAACTGCAGCTGCTGTACCTTCTCATCCTCTGGTCAAAAGTTTTATCTAGCAGAGGCCCTGCAAAAGTGGTTGCAAAAGCGTAGTTTGCTTGAACAAGTACCAGTATTGCTTGCTTTGCTAGGGGTGCAGTGCAATTTTACGTTATGGGTACAAAGCACATCTGTATCCATTCTAGGAGTGCTTTAGAAGGCTGGTATTCCTGTATCAGTAAGCCACTCTAGTATAGACTTAATTTTGACCATTGGGGTTAGTATCCATTCTAAATGCATATTATCTGCTCTAGTTTTAGATGAGTGCCTTAGTGGTTCTATAAATAGCTACTGTATTTACTTGAATACAAGATGAGGTTCTTCCACAGTCAGAATGGGAGAAGGATCCTATATTTGCATATAATGAAATTTTATTAAATACATTGTTGATCATTAAACTGCTGCCAAAGCAGCATGTGCTCAGTTATAGAAAAGATCTGTGAAGTTGATTAAATGCAGCCAACACTGAGCATGGCTCACGTTGGGCAAACATGCTGATGGGAACCTTCTTTTTTTGTGTGTATATGTATGAGTGGCCCTTACAACAAAAAAACCAAAATGGGCAGTTGCTCGCCAAAGAGGGAACTGGCACCAGGCCTGGAGGCACTACAATACCAGGTTGACAGCAGAAGGGCCAGAGCCAGCCTTGACACCCTCCCCTTGATGCCAAAATTCTTGATCTTAGCCAAAAGATGCCGATGAAAAACTTTTTCTTTTTTTACAATTTTTATTAAAAGCACACATCACTACGTTTACAAAGCTACACATGTTGAACATCCTTGTTTTACCAAGACATAATAGCACAGAAACAACTACCTATCAAAAACATACAGGTACATATTTTAAACCCTTAAACAACATACATCAACTTCCCATAAAAAACAAACCCTTACAGAACTGTTTTTTTCTTCATACAAAACCCCATGAAAGAACTGTTACTTCAGTAACCACCTGAAACTCTCTAACCCTCCCATCACACCCCTCTGCTGCTTTAGTGAAACAAGTGTGCCCAGTCCATTTTCCTGCACTTCTTCTCCACCTCTTCCTCTCCAATCTCTTCCTTGTCCAGATCAATGTAGTATTTCAGTTCATGCAGCCGCAGCTTCAGGCACTCTCAGTGAAAGCCAACCCCTAAACAACCAGAGGTTTCTTACTTGCCATAAACTAATTTTAACACATGCTAATAAAATCCTTAATAACATTTCCTCCAGTTCCTTTGGTGCGAATCCCTATAGTACCATTTCCTGTCCTAAAAACAGGCTTATTTTGGAGACGCTCAAAGTGGCGGACCCTTTCCCACACCCCCTTTGCGTATCATAGAAGTAGGGTCGGAAGGGACCTTGTAGATCTTCAAGTCCAACCCCCTGCCTGGGCAGGAGAAAAACTGGGCTCAAATGAAAAACTAGGCTCAAATGACTATGTACACTCCCAAAACACATCCCACCATTTCTTCTTCCCCACACCTCTCTCTTGGGCACCTTGATGAGCTTGTCAAGTCCCATCTGTGTTGTACTTCTCTCACTGGCAAGATATTTCTTACAACCCATGGTAGGTAAGCATGTTCCCCTTTTCACCTGCCACTGCTCCCCACACCTTCTTCACTTATCCTGTGAAGTTTCCCTCCAGTGCCATACTGTCTCTCTCCCTTATTGCTATCATCAGTTTTTTATGATCCTTCAGGACCTCCAGCCCTACCTTTCCTGTTTTATACCTCTGCATGAAACCTTCCATCCTGATGTAATGAATTGGCAGTTGCCATGCCCATGGTCTCTTCAGAGAGGTCTTTCTTACTCCCTGTTTCCTCAAAATTGTAGCTGTGTGAAATCAAGAGGTATACACTGCTTTCCCCTCTCCCTCCATTACTAACGCTTTGTATATCTCGCCTGCAAATTTCACATAGATGAACAATCACAAGTCCAGGAGCCCCCATCTCTCTTGCTTCATGCAGTTCAGATTTCTCTTCTGGCATTTCAGAAGAACATGCATGTTTCCCTCTGTACTTTTGCTATCTGCCGTCATGTCAGTGGGAATACAATTCCCATATATAGAATAATCAGCAGTAGCATAGCCTTAAATGCTGCCACTTTTCTGGCAAAGAACAGTGTATTTGCTATAGCTTTGCCGTCACCTTTTTCCACGCCGTATTACCTTCCCTTCGGCATCCATTGAGATTCCTAGCACTCTGATTTCTCTCTCTCCTTTTTGAAGGCTCAACTTCTCCAAGTCCCTCCAGTTCCCCACTCCCATTATTTTGCCTTTGTATCTATTTAGTTTAGCCCCCATCACTTCCCTGTACCCTGATGTATGCTTTAACATCCTTTCCATTGAAAGTCTATCTCTAACTACTATATTTATGCCATCCATTTATAGAAGGGGTGTAGGTTGTAGCTGTGTTGGTCTAAGGACATGGGCAAACAAGGTTCTTCAGGTAAATCTGGTTTACCCAAATGACCTTGTCTATACGTGTATAGTAGGCATTTTACCTCACCCCCTTCTGATATTTTTACTCCATTTACAACCTTGTCTTTTCTTATTCTTTGTGCTGACGGTTCCTTGCTACACAAATAGTACTGGTAACAGGGGGCATCCTTGTCTCATCCCTGTATGGATTTTAAAGGCCCGGCTTAGGTGCCCATTAATTTGGACTTGACTCTGCTTCTCTATACAGTAACCTTATCCAGCCTATTCATTTCTCTGGGAACCCTGTTTTTTCTTAGCAGTTTGAATATGCAGTCACGATCCACTTCGTCATATGCTTTTTCTAAGTCTAGGTTTGCTGTAACTGTTGTTTTCCTCTCTTGGACGTGGGACAGTGCATCTCTGATGACTTTGATCACTTCAGAGATCCTCTTGCCTAGGACTGTACATACTTGGTCTTCATGTATTATCTTCTGGAGGTTTTTCCTCATCCTCAATGCATCTTAGCCCTTAACTTATAGTCCATTTTAAGGAACATAATTGATCTGCAGTTTTTCAAGAGTTCCTTCTCCCCTTTCTTAAAGAGTAAGATCACAATGCTTCTTGTAAAATCTTTCCCTGCCTCTCCTGTTTCTGCTATTTCCTTGAACACTTCCACTATATCATTCCCTATGCATGCCCAAAACTTCTCGTAAAATTTCATAGGCAGTCTGTTTGCTCCTGGTGATTTCCCTCTTTTAAAGATTTTTAAATGTTCCTCCACTTCCTTTAAGTTTATCTTTTCTTTCATCTTCTTTGCTTCCTCCTCCTCTACTTTCTCTTTAGTCTTTTCCAAGAAATCTGTCATCATCTTGCTGTCTGTTTCCTTCTTCTGGTATAGCTCTTCATAAAATCTTGTCTCCAGCCCTTTCACCTGCTTTTCCACCCAGGCACCGCCACTTTTGTGCACTGCTTTAAGCTCTCCCTTTGCCACTTTCACTCTGAGCAAAAAGTATTGGGACCATTCTTTGTTTTCTCCCATCCAGGGTGCTTGTGCTGAAAACATTTTCTCTCTTGTCTTTGTTTTAAACCAGGTTTCTAACTCTTACCTTTTTTCTTCTATCTCTTTTCATACCTGTCTTCTTATTGCAGTTTCCTGTAGCAGCTCCTGCATCTTCCTTTGCAGCTGTCTTAGCTCTTTTGTTTTTTCCCCCTGTGCATCTTCAGCCTTCCTCCCTGAAGAATTCTCCCATCCTCCTCTTCATCATCATCCACCATTTGCTGGTACTCCTAAAATATCCACCCCTCATACTGTCTCGTATATGCTTGACATATCTCTCTGTCTTGTAATAGTCACACACTTAATGTCCATGGTCCCTTCCGTCTCATGGGACTCTCAGCAACACTCATTTCTACCTTCAGCATCCAGTGATAGCTAAAAGCCACATGTATGGTTTCTTTCTTCCTTATCTCTATTTCTTTTGATACAAGCACAAAGTCAATTCTTGATTGTTTCTTTCTGCTGGGGTCTGTTCTAGTGAAAACTTTCTCCCCTGCCCACACATCTCTTAGTGACTCTTTTTTTATTATATTTATTAACCGTCTGGATGAGGTGTGTAAAGCTCTGCTTCCCCTGTTCTGTCACCCACTTTGATTATACTGTTGTAATCCACTATTATGCACAGTCTCCCTCCAACCATGTAAGCTGCTAACTTTCTAAGCAACGCATTCTTTCCCTCCCTCTCCAGTGATGCATAAACATGGAAAATTTCTGATTCTTTTACCTTGGCTGATAGTATCATTCTACCTGCTTTGCATTTAGCTCTGGGTTCTTGAATAATATTGCTACCCCTACCACTTGTTCTCATGTATCCCTGACCACCAGGATGGTCCCATCTCTGCTTTTCTCAAAGTGCTTATAATCCATCTCCCCTGGTATACCACATTCTTGTAGGCAGATTGTTTGCCCTTACTTGGTTCACACTGGTTTGATCTGTTCCCATCTTTTCCCTGTTAAGATACTCCCAATGTAAGCAAAATTGTTGATAACATTTATGCTTGTTTTAAAATGAGGCCTTCTGTCTATTTAAGGTTTATCTGTGCTTGCTTTGAGCTGAGTGCACCTGTCCCTTTAAGGTTCATCTGTGCTACTTCTTGGGGTGGTAGACTCCTTTTGCTCCCTTACTCACAT